GTTCCTATATACAAGTTAATATCATCTGCAAATAGATACTTTTACTTTTATTTTTTCTCCAGCCTGGATGCATTTTATTTCATTTTCTTGCTCATTTGCTTTGTGTAGAACCTCCAGCACAATGTTGAATAGAGGTGATGGCCATCCTTGTCTTATTCCTATCTTGGAGGAAATATATCCAGAATTTCTCCTTGTCTTTTTCCTATCTTGGAAGAAACACATCCAAAATTTCTCCATTAAGTATGCTATTACCTATGGGTTTTCTGTAGATACCATTTAGTAGGCTGAGGAAGTTCCTTTCGATCCCTAAGCAATTTTTATCATGAAAGGGTGCACCCTACTGACTTCCCCCACAAACTACTGTCCCATTTTCTTCTTTTGCTTTACAGTGAATTTAGAAGGGTTAGCTATGCTCATATTCCAATTCCCCTCCTCCTCTCCTCCACCATACCCATTGTTACTGGGCTTTTCCACCAGCACTCTGCCAACACCACCCCAGTCCAAGCCACCAATGAACTTGGTTCATGTTAATTCTCTTCCTGCTGACCCAACCTGCATGCTGCCATTGACCAGCTCCCCCCTCTCTCTTAGAGGTTCCCTTCCCTTGGTTCCACTGCCTCATACACTCTTGGCTCCCCACCCCACCCCCCCTTGCCCTGCTTGGACTATCCTTCTCAGCCCCCTTGGCTGAGCAGCTCAGAGCTCAGCCCTGGTCCTCTCTGCTGTCTGTACACATGTCCCACAGTGCCTCATCCAGCATGTCTTCCCCCCCCCACCTATGTGCTGATGACCCCACATTCTCTCTCCAACACAGCCATTGCTTGTAATTTCTACATTTAAATATCTAACTGCCTACTTGACATCCAACCTTGAGCTTCTAGTAAATATCTCAATCTAGCCCCAAAGTGAACTCTCCCTCTTCCTTCCAAACAATTGCACTTCCTGTGTTCTTTCTCACCTGAGTTAATGGCTAATCTACTCTTCCAGTTGCTTAGATAAAGTAGCTTGGAATACCCTTCAATTCTCTCTTGTTCTCTTGCACCCTTCCAGCAGAGACATACTATTTTCTTTACCTTCAAAATATATCAAGATTTCAATTACTTCTCATCACCAATACCCTAGGGTCATGGCTACCATTATCTCTTGCCCATATAAACTAATGACACTTTTCATGTGATAGTCTGCCTGTTTCTGCCCTGGCCTGCTTTCATCTACTCTCAGAGGGACGAGCCAGAGGGATCCCATCAGAACCTGACTCAGGCTCCACAATACCTCTGTTCAAAACCTGACATTGGTGCCACCTCACTCAGAGGGAAAGCCAGCGTGGTCTCCACAGAGAAGTTAACCTACCTACCACCCCATTTCTTGTCTGATCTGTCTCCTCCTCCCTCTTTCACTGACTGGCTCCCTCCTCCTTGCTCTTCTGACATGGGTACTCCTGCTTCTGCTTCCAAAACGTGACCTTTTCTCAAATGGCACACAACTCCAGCCCCCTGGTTTCCCTGTCTCATTGTTCACCACTGAGCTCACTGCCATCAAATTTGCCATGGGACCATTAGGCTGTTGTCCACTCTTCTACTTGAAGGTGCTCTGCTTGAGGGCAGGGGCCCTGTCTGTGCCCCAGTCTCTAGAACAAACATGCAAGTAAATAACTGACTGGCTGAGTAGATGAATGCCAGGCAAGGGGTGCTCCAGTCAGGGGTGCCCCTGGGCAGGCCACCAGCATGAACAGGCTGCCCTAGACAGCTGGCCTGTCCTAGTTTCCCCATGGGCATGGCCTGCCAGGCTTTCCCCTGACTTTAGCAGGCACGGTGCCATTCATGTCTGTCTGAGGGGCCGTTCCCTGCCAGAACAAACATGCTTGAAAAGACTCAGGGTTCCGTTATTAAATAGTGAAAGAAGGCATGATCCTCTAAGCCTCCTTTCCAGGGGAACCCAAGCTAATAACAGCTTTGCCAGGAAACCTTCAGAGGCTGACTGAGCCCACTTGGGAGCTCCCAGGCTTGCCCAGACATGTCTAAGATTGCTAACCCTTGGGGTTTCTGCATTTCCTCTAGACTTCTCCTGGGGAGGAGATAAGTGCCTTTGATGAAGTTTCTTGTTTTAATTCTGGCAAGTTCCTGAGCACACAGCCGGAGAAGGCTGACAGACCCTGGGCCCTGGAGGAGGGCAAATCTAGGCTCCACCTGGATTGTGGACCAGGTCCCAGTGCTGGGCCAGAGGGCTGGGGGAAGGGAAGCGAGGAGGGAGAGAGACCATGCTCACCTGGGGACCAGCAAATGAAGACCTCCTGTGACAGCTAGGCTGGGACAAAGCACTGCCTTTGGGGTCAGAACATCTGTAACCTTCGTTTCTTAGGTCTTCTCTCTGACTAGCTATTTTGTCTTGGGCCGTTACTTAGCATTGTTGATGCTTAGTTTTCTTTTTTTTTTTTTTATCACTTACATAGTGAAATATGCACACATCCGGAAGTACTTAAAGCCTAATGTACAGATGAACACACAGTGTAAAGTGAGCACCTGTGATTACTTTCCCCTTCATTTCCTTGCCTTTCTTAATATTGTTGCTGCATAATTGTCTGTAAATAATATAGCTGACTTTTGCCCTATTTTTAAACTTTATATAAACTGTATAAGACACAGTATGATAGTTGTGTCTGTTCCTCCCTAACCCCACAGTATGTTTTTAGGATTCATGCAAGAGGCTGGCTGGAGTTGCAGCTAATTCTCCGTCTGGAGCTTGCCTTTGTAAGAATCTACCTCTTGTGCCGTAGCTGAACTCTGGGCTAGTGTGGGGCCATCACAAACAAAGCTGCCGTCATATCTGCCATGGCGTGTCTCCGGCATGCCTGCGTGTACACTTCAGTTTGGGACATGCATGGCCCTGGAATGCTGGGATACGGATGGCCAAAACTACCTAACAATTCCCCTAGCAATATATGCAAATATCAGTGGCTCTCTATCTACATCACCACTGGGAACCACCTGTCTGTCCTCGTTTAGGCATTCTGGTGGGTGAGTAGAAGTACCCCTTTGGGGTCATTTCCCTGATTCCTAAGGAGGCTGAGCATCACTGCCTAACTGCTCAAGAGGATTTCTTCTTTTGCAAAGTCACTATTCGAGTCTCTTGCTGTGTGTCTTCTGGCTCATCTATTTTTGCATTCCTGGTTTGCAGGAGTTTGAGGATTAAGTCATTGGATGGTTCTATATGTGGAAAATACGTTCTCCCAACTACGGGTTGAATTGTTATTAATCTTTTTTATAGAACAGATGTTCTTTATTTTATGTGGTATTATTGAGTCTTCTCCTAAAAGATTAATGCTTTTCATCACTCACTTAAAAAATATCTTCCTCTACTTCAAGATCATGGAGATGTAATCAATTTCCTCCTGATGCAAAGCACCACTTGTCATAGATCACAGTCCCGCTGCCCAGTTGGTTTCTGGGCTCCACGCAGTCCCACTGCCTCACTATCAGCTATCTTGCCCTGGAGAAGTCCCTGGGGAATTCAGGCACCCTGGGTGGGCTTAGGTCTTCTCAGGCCGTTCCCTGAGAACAAATCACTGCAACTGGGCATGGGGGGCATGGCTAATAAGGAAGGCCAGAGAGAGACTCTGACTTTCAAAGTTGTCCCATTTTTCTACATGGAGCTTTGGGGTTCTGTAAGAGGTGCTCAGGCAAGTGGTAGCCAGGGCTGAGAGAGGAGAGCTGGCCAGGTGCCTCTGCCTGTGGAGCATGCATGACTGCAGGATGCGCCCCAAAGGTGAGGATCTGCCAGGACCATGTACTAGTCAACACTGCAGTGAGACAGCATAGCCAAGGCTCATGTGCTAGGACCCTGGGGCCCAAAGGCCCAGCCTCGGGGTCGGCAGGGCAGCCAGGGGCCTTTCTGAAAGCTCCTTCGTGGTGACTGCACATGGACACCAACCTGCAGAGACTGCCCAGCTGGGAGTCACCATTACTTCTGTTCCCACCCAAGCTTTTGCCCCTGTCACCTCCAGTCTGATGATTGTCCCTGCTGCTTGCACCCACTCTCATCTTTCCAGGGTCCACCCCTCACATGGTGACTATTTTTATATAACCAGAATCAGGTGGTGTCTGGCTCCTGTTCAGAGTCCTCCTGGTGCCTCCCCTGACCTCAGCGACCTCTGGCCTCAGGCCCTCGCTCCCATCCTCACTTCCTCAGGGCACATGGCCTCTCTGAGATTGCTCAGGTTTCATCACTCATTCCCTCCCCAGGGCCTTTGTACTCGCTGGCCCTGCTGTCTGATACCTCTACCCCCACCATTCCCTTGGCCCTTCTGGTGGTAGCTTCATTAAGCTTGCGGGGCCAGATGGCTCACATAGCTGTCTCCTGTCCTCTCACTCAGCTTTTCTCTGCTCGCATGTTTCTCACTTTGGATATCACGTGACCCACCAAATACCAATCATCTGACTCCCACAGGCCACTGGAATGGAGGGAGAGGCAGAAGAACTGAGTTTGCCACTGAACTTCCAGTGTGTGGAATACAACCCGATACCTTTTGGGCAGCCAGTATGTTGATTAAAGAAGGGAGTAAACGGCAGCTGCTGTTTTCAGATCAGGACAGAAAGCAGGATCCATAGGCAGCGCCTGGGGCGCCAGGCCCGACAGAGGCAAAGGCGTTGCACCCGGGCCCCTGCTAGGACCCTGCCAGCACCCACATTTGGGTATATGCAGACCACCTCACACCCACTTAGTGTTGAGCAGGGGCCTGGTGCTCCGCCAGTTTACGACAAAACAAAACCTGAAATCGCCAAGAACTTAATGAGACAGACAGACAAAAGCCAAGAGGACTCCAGTTGGAGGAGGGCATGACTTTGGGAAGTGCCGCCAGAACCTGCCAGGTGCCCCAAGGGCGACTCCCCAGGGCCAGCGGAAGAGGACAGCGCTGTCGCCTGTCGAAAGAAGCCCAGTGCAGCCTGCAGTCCCCAGTGAGATGGATCGTGTAGACTCAGTGAGGTACGGAGAGGCATGATTACCTGGAGACAAGGGTTCTAGAGGGTGAGCATGCGAGCTACGGGCAGTACCTCCACCAAGCGGGGCCCAGATGACCCGGCGGATGGCCTGCACCCAGTCCTCCATGTCCCGCTGGGAGCTGGCCATGAGCAGGAGCGCCTCGGGGTTGGCCGGCACCTTCTCCCGCTCCCCGGCACCACCTGCAAGACAGGGAGACACAGCTTACCGCAGGGCCCCCTGCAGGGCGCGCCTAGGGGGACCCTGCCCCAGTGCTCCCGCCATCTGACTAGATCCTCTCGCAGCAGCCGGACTCTGACTCTTTTGATAGCACATCCCTTTCACACCTCACACGTCTGTCTCTGGCCCTTGTGGGTTGCTCTATCTCCTTCCGTCTTTTTTATGGTCCTATATCAGAATAAAAGCCATTAAATGCATCTTGGGCTGCTATCAGAAAGAGAAAGAAGTTTGGTGCCCCCAGAAGCCACAATGCTTTTACTCCACTTCACACAGCCAAAGCGCACTTAGTGTCCCTGAGCCCAAGCATGGCATTACCGGTGCAGAACTGTGAGTGAGCCAGGGTGCACACCGGGCTCAGGCTTCCCACCGGGGGCCCTCACAGCCACATGCTGGCTCATTCTTCAGAGGCAGAGGGATGGGAAAGCTCAGGCTGTTGTTTGGGAACAGATTTTGTCCCCTACAAGTAGTTCTAATGTCTTGTCTTCATGTGTAAACACTTCACTCTTTGAGATACACTTACACTGGACTGAACTTTCGAGGCAATGTAAGGGACTTTTCAAGGACTGGGCCTTTCTGTACTCCCCCTACCACAGCCCGCAATGTGTCTCTTATCTGTGTGCTTGCAGGACCATCTGTGGGTGGGCGACTTTGGAGAGGTGAGATAGGGTGGGGAGGGAGGTCGGCCCCGAGCCAGAACTTGCTGGAGCCTGTGGCCCAGGGCTGGAGGCCAGACCGGCAAGGGCTTACTGAGCTCTGGGCACCCGCCTGGGGCCCTTCTAAGAAGTTGCAGATGCTTAAATGAACAAAGCTGTTGGATGTTCCTCCCCTCCTAGGATTCCTTCTTCACAGTGACAGGGTATGTTGCTCCAGATAAGGAACTACGAGTGTGATTTACAGAATTTGCCTCAGCTCACACAGCCAATTCATGGAAGACCCAGGGATTCAAAATCCTCAGCCCTGAGCTCTGAACCCACCCCTGCTTCCACCACTCTGTAAGAATGAGCCTCCGCAAGGGTGGTACTGAGAATGGTCATAGAAGTTGGCCAGGGACTGGGGCAACTCCGGCAGCTGCTAGGAGTGCTGAAACAGGGGAGAGCTGTGACCTTGAGAGGAGGTGCCCTGAGCCAGGCATTTGGGAGGTGCCGTGATGTGTGACACTGGCAGACCGTCTGCTGTCAGGCTGGGCCCTGCGTGGCTCCTCCCTCCCGGCAGGTACATGGGGTCTGTGGGCTGCACTTTTATGGGTTCTCATGTATGTCTGTACATTCTTATTTGTTTTTAACTTTTAGGAAACTGCCACAAACTGTTTTCCCAAGTGATTGCACCACTTTGCATTCCCTCTGCAGGTATGAGAGTTCTAGCTCCTGCACTTCCTCGCCAGCACTAGGCGGGTCAGCGTTTTACCTTTAATCTTTCCTTGTGTATGTTTAGCGTTGTTTGAATTTGCCTTCCCAAGTGACCAGTGATGTCAGACATTTTTTTTTTTAGGTACTGAATTGCCCTTTGTGTATCTTCTTGGTGATAGCTGTTGAAATTGTTTAATAATTTTTGATATGGGCTCATTTACTTTTTCATTATGAGCTTGAGAGTCTGTCACATAATCTGGGTACAAATCCCTTATCAGATACATGCTTTGTAAATATTTCTCCCTGTCTGTAACTTTTCTCTGCATCCTAACAGTATATTTCCAAGGGAAGTTTCTGATTTTTTGATGAAGTCCAGTTTATCATATTTGTATTGGTCCTGTATCTAAACAAATTAACTTATCCCAAGATGATAAGATGATAAGTTTTCTTCCAGGAATTTCAAAATTTTAGGGTTTACAATTAGGTCTCTGAGTGAATGTATGCACTGAAATTACTCTTTTACATATGGATGGTGTTCAGATACTTAACACGAATCTGTTAAGGAAGCACTTATGTCAAAGGACACATAAGACACTTCGGCACATTTCATTCCCATGATTGCTCTAGATGGATGTTACTGATCCCACTTTCTAGACACAGAAACAGATACAAATGGCAGGCCCATGGTTTAAGTCCAGGTTTGTTTAGCTATGAACTTGTTCTCTTTTTGCAATATGAAACCTCCTGTACAGCAGGGGAGAATGAGAAGAAGATAAAATAAGCTAAATACACTAAAACAAACTGTGGGATTATTCTATAGCATTTAATTGTTTATGCTTACTCTTTTGTTTGTTACGGAAGATTAGTATTAGGTTTAAAGAAAACATTACAGTAGTGATTATCTTAGAAAGAAATGCATGATGAAAGATGAGGGTCTCTTGCTATTGTTTCTGGCTCTTTACTGTTTCTGATGACACTGGGTTCCCATCCCAGCTGCCACCTCTCCCAGGTATTTCAGAGCCTCTGGAGCAGTGCCCAGAGCTCAAGCTGGGCTTGGCCCTCAGTGCCAGCAGATGGAGCTCTGTGACTTGGTTTCCCCACATGTCGGAGTCACTCCCACAGGGTCCCGGAAGGAACAAAGGCACTAGTCCAGCATGAAATGAGATATTTTCTGCTTAGGACCTGAGGCCAAGCAATCTACTTATCTGCTTTCACTGCCATGTTCAATTAAATGCCATACAAGACAGAGCTTCTCCATCTTAGCATGTCTGAATCAGATCATTCTTCACTACCATGTGGGGAGCATCTTGTTCCTGGGGATGTTTAGCAAACATCCTGGTCTCCGCCCACTAGATGCAGGAGCAGCCTCTGCCTCCTTCCCATGATGTGACAAATGTCCTGTAGGGGGCAAAACTGTCCCCAGCTCAGAAGGATTGATACAGAGGAAACATCTATACTGCCCCCGAGTCTCAGAGACCTGCACAACTTTACAGTGTGTGGTTTCCATGGCTACAACGTGGTATATCTCAAAGTGATCAACTCCTCTTCTGTCAAACCAGCTTCCTCCTGTGATCCAACCTTATACCTGGAGAACCAGGGGCCCAAGGCAGAAAGGGGGGAGTCCCCACATCAATCTGCCCTTCTCTGGTAAGCTCACCCATCTTTGGCTTTAAATGGCATTCCTGAGCCAGTGATTTCCAATGTCACTGCTCCCCTGTCCTCTGCCCATCCACCGGTGCCACTGAGATGTCTCCAGGCCTCTCCGTCTTAGCAAATATCTATTCTGGATTAGCCCGCCTATCTGCCTCAGATGAGGGCAACTCTATCTTCTGCTCAAGTCGAAACCAGACTCAGTTCCACTCACAGCCATTCCACCAGTAAATTCTATATCCACCTTCACAATATATTCAAAATCTGACCACATTCGTCATTATATCTGGTCTAAGCTGCCACTGTTTCTGATCTCAATTATCAGAACTGTCTCTCCGTTCCCGGCCTTGTTCCCTAAAAGCTAAGGGTAGCGGCTGGCCACGTGGCCCAGGCAAGCTGCTCTGCAGCTCACAGGCTCAATTCCCACCAGGGTCCCTCTCGGCAAAGCCTTGCATTGCCCTTCTAAGCTCTCAGCTGCTGCTCTTCTGACTTCGTAGCTGTTTTCTGGTTTAAGCTTTGCCGTTCCTCCTCCCCCACCCCCAGGCACGCCCTTGCAGTTGTCTAAACTGTTGGCCTCTCACTCCTCCAGATCTTTCCTCGTGTCCCCTTCTGGGAGAATCCCTCTTGACCACCTTGTTTACACTGCACCCAGCGTACCTATTCCTAGCCTGAATTTTTCCTTAGCACGTATCACAACCCAGTACACCTATTTTCGGTGTTTACAACATGCTTGCTTGAGTGTCTCTTTTTGGCTCACCCTGCCTTATCTGTTTGCTCAGCAGCTCCTGCACATTGAACAGTGCCTGGCATGGAGAGGCCATACCGGTGTCCGGCTGGTGGGAGCTGACCAAGGGCAGCAGCAGAACAAGGTTACTGGCCCCCTCAAAGGGGGGTGTGAGCAGATGGGCGTTAGATGTTTAGACACCCATAGTGGAAGTGGCGCCACGATCCCCATTTTTTTTTAATAATTTTTTTTTTAAAGATTCATTTATTTGTGCATACAGAAATGGGGTACAGGCAGGAGGCTCAGGGGCGGCGAGAGGCTTCACCAGAGGCAGAGTGGGGAGCAGAACAGGCAGACTGATGAGGTACACTGCTGAGGGGAGCAGCGGGCGGGTCAGGAGAGGTCTGCCATGCCATATGGTCTCCTCCGGGGCAGGCGGGAATCGAACTCATGTGGAAGTGGCTTTAGCTTCTGAGTGCTGCGCTGAGCCACCAGGGAGGGCCAACGATCCCCATTTTAAAGGGATGACAGTGAGGCCCAGAGGTATTGAGAAATGCAGTCGGGTTGTAAAATCACAGAACACTGACCTCAAGACTCTGGCTCCTACCGCAGACCCCACTGGGCTCACCTCTCTTGCCTATGACATACAGGCCCCAGGTCACTGAGTCAGGGCCTTAGTCTGGCTTTCTGGGTCCCATTGGGGCTCTGAGCTCCTGAACTTTTATGCTCAAGTCTTTCTACCCACACTAAGAATTTTAGGGGATATAAGGTAACTCCAAAAATGCAGCAAATAGGGGTTCTAGGATAAACTTTTTTCTGTATAAAAATTTTCATAATAAAAAGCATAAAGAGTAAATGATATCTGTAAAAGCTTTCTATAAATTCCTGTAGCTCATGAGAATTTAGGTGAAAAGTTGTCATTCTGATGTAATTAATCAAATGATTTGGAATTACCCTTCCCCTAGCAGGATTTATAGAAAATGGTTTTTAAAAAATCAAGGAAGGGCCCTCCCTGGTGGCGCAGGGGGTTAAAGCACAGCATTAAGAAGCTAAAGCCACTTCCGCATGAGTTCTATCCCTGCCCCGGAGGTGACTACATGGCATAGCAGACCTCTCCTGACCCGCCTGCTGCTCCCCTCAGCAGTGTATTTTGTCATTCAGCCTGTTCTGCTCCCCACTCTGTCTCTGGTGAATCTTCTCATTGCCCCTGCACCCTGGCCTATACCCCAGTTCTGTATGCATA